TCATGCCAGAACAGCTCATATAGAAGGTGGCTATTACTGAGCTCCACTGCTAAGTGGGTGGGCACTGCTAGGGATTTGCATGCAGAAAGGGAATATGCAATGAGATGTGGAGAAACTTTCCCCCCTTTCTACATAAGTAGCTTATGGACGTTGAGTCTAGCTTTTATGAGAACCCTTACCAGTACTGTAATTCCTTGTTCTTTGCACAGCATGGCTATTGCACCTAGGAGAACGCTCACCAGCACCCAAAATACAGAAAAATGGATTCCTTCTTTATCTGTCAATGTAAAATATGACATAATTTAGGCTTATATAATATTTTAAGTTGGCATTAGAAACAACTTTTTAAAAATGCAATACTGTTTACTTTCTCTTAAAATCTTCTCTACCCTGCCAAGGGAGAGGTGTAGAAGGAATGAACAACAATATGCTGGCATTTGTTCATTGGCCCCAGGGATTTAATAGTAGACCACAGATGCATTAGGAATCTCCCCCTTTGGTAGACATTGTGTGGCTCCATACAAGTTTCTACAACATATTTCTGCAAAGTCCAACCATTAGACACAAACGTATCATCCTTGGCTACAGGTCAGTTATTAATGGCAACTCTCTCAAGCTATTAGAGGAGAAAGCAAAAATCCTCCTAATGAAAACATGAAGTGTCAGCCATATGATTCCCATTTTAACTGTTGCTTAATCTGCAAAAGCACAAGTTGCTAAAAGCACCTCTAAAACTGCTGAGTTTAGCAGGTATAGCATCACGTTTCATTAATACTGCAATGGAATGTGATGGAACCCATTAATGTCACTTCGGGTGAAGGGCCCATACTGAAGAAGTTAACATATGCAATCAGGAAGCATGGGTTACAGCCACATGAGAACTCTGGGGTTAGTAAGGTGAGAACGAGGGCGGGAGAGACTGTGCTTGGTCGAGTTCATCACGGTGAGTAAAATGGTACATTATGTAGGACAGAGCACCATGTTATATGGCTATATTTCACTTAAGCTAACCTG